CTTCTAATAGAGTCTGAAACCTAGAATCTCTGCGAATTAGGGTTTCCTATTAGATGCCCTTCTCTAGGATAAAAATTAATAGTGGCGACTCTGAGTAAAAATCCAGTTGCTACAGGTGTGAAATACTTTCTTAATTCTGAAACTAGATAAAAGTATTCAAAAAATTTGTTGATGAGTTGCAACTTGAAGGAAGAATCCAAGTGTTGGATACTTAGACAAGGTGGAACTCAACTTGGTTGATATTGTCCACTGCATACCACTACATAAAAGTGTGGCCTAGATATGCTGAGGAAAATTGTTCATTTCTCAACTTTTTTCCTACGGAAAATGATTGGGAAGATGTTCATGATATTTGAAATTTTTTAGAGGTTTTTGCTGATGTTACATCAATTATAAGTGGCACCTCTTACCCTATTGCTAATTTGTTCTTGGCTGAGCTTTACAGGGTGAAGGTTATACTTGATAAACCTTCAAGCATCTCAAATAATCCTCAACTGCAAGCGCTTGCTAATGAAATGAAGTTGAAATATGAAAAGTATTGATTAGAGTCTAATACATTGATTTCAATTGGTGCCACTCTTGATCCAAGATATGTACAAGTAGATTCAATTAAGTTGCCATTGTATTTTGTGACATTTTACCTTAGGTAGCTAGTTGTCTGCTTGATATGCCTTGACGAATTATGTTACCTTGTGATTCAATTGTGCCTATGATAAATTATGTTGCCCTCTGATTCAATTGTGCCTATGATGAATTATGTTGCCTTGTGATTCAATGTGCATATGATGAATTTTGTTGCCTTGTGAATCAGTTGTGCCTATCATGAATTATGTTGCCTTGTGAGTTGTGATTCAATTGAGCCTATGATTCAATTATGTTGACTTGTGAGTTGTGATTCAATTGTGTCTATGATGAATTATCTTACCTTGTAAATTACATCTGAGGCCAATTATGTTACCTCCTTGTGAATTAAATTGTATATGAGGCCAATTATGTTACCTCCTTGTGAATTAAATTGTATATGAGGCCAATTATGTTACCTCCTTGTGAATTAAATTATATCTGATGGCAATTTTGTTACCTCCTTGTGAATTGAATTGTATCTGAGGACAATTCTATTTCCTTGTGAATTATGTGCCTATGATGAATTCAAAAATTAAGGTCAATTTTGTTACCTTGTGAATTATGTTACATTGTGAATTATGTTGCCTTGTGAATTTGTGATTCAACTGTGCCTAACTGCCTATGATGAAATTAAAACCGAGGCCAATTTATGTTGCCTTATGATTCAATTGTGCCTATGATGAAATTAAATTTTGAGGCCAATCGTGTTTCCTTGTGAGTTATGTTGCCTTATACTCTACTTGATCAAATAGGTATAAGATGATCTTCATCAAATGGGTATATCCGTTCTTGTATCTAAATCCTACTCAAGAAACTACCTATCAATAAGAGTTGTCAACCAACTTAAACTCCATCTTTCAATTGTATCAAGATACATATGGAACCAATAATGATTATGATGCCCATGTATCTGAAACTCCAGAAGTAGGATCTAGTTCTGGGTTGGGAAGGAGGAATTTTAAGAGGTTTTTAAAAACTGTTGTGGATAATAGTTATTCAAAATCAGATCTTGAATTATATCTTGATGAGTCTCCCTTGAAAGTTCCCCCTAAAGCTAATTTTGATATTTTACATGGTAGACGAAAAATGAAGCAAAGTATCTTGTTCTTAGTAAATTGGTAAAGGATACCCTAATTGTTCCAATTACTACTGTTGTTTCAGAAGAAACTTTTAGTGTTGGAAAAAGGGTTATTGATCTGAAACGATCATCTATGAAAACTAAGACAATTGAAATAGTAGTTTGTGATAGTGATTGGCTGAATGAGATGTATGAAATTAAGAAGGGTTGCACTGTTAGTGTTGTAAGTAGCTTTTCTTAATGTCTTGTTTTGCTTAATATATTATATGTCTATGCTTAATATGTTTTCTAACTTTATGTTTTTACATATGTAACTTGAAGAACCACAAGATGAACCTTTGACATATCATTTTGTTGAAGATTCAGGTGTCGCTTCTTCGACTACTGCAACTTGAAGATATGTATTTTACATTGTCAATGATGAGATTGTTCTGAGGCATCATTCAAAAATATAATCTCCTTTTGTAGTTTTTGAAAATTTATGTTTCGTAACTTATGTTTAAACACTTTTTTTGAGAATTAAACAATTATGTCCTTTCTTTTCATATGTGAACGGAGATTCAAGATGTATTTTTGTTTGTTCTTCCTTATCATTGTTTTTTTCAAATTTTGGAAATTTAAATCTTATGATTTTTGTTCTATTTCGGGTAGTTCGGATACCCGCCCGAAAAAGTATGATCCAGTTTCGGTTCCAACAAAAAGACCAACGATAATTCGGTCTGATTTTGATTTACCCGAATGTATCGGACCGGTTTCAGTCTAAAAAAAAATAGTCCATAATTATTTTTGTCCGGTCTCGTTTTATCAGATTAGAGTTTTCGATCCACTTCTCGGGGGACAAAATACTCGGACCGATCCGGACCGAAAACAATCCTACACACAAGTGAGAAAATCTGAGTCAAATCCATATTTTTTATTCTCTCCTATTCATCTGCACACTAGAACATCTATCGCCCAGAAAATTAATATATATTCATGATAAATTAATTAAGAATAACATAATCACACTAACATTTTATTATATTATAATAAAATAAATTTAACAATATATATGTTTATCACCAAAAAAAAATCAAGACATAAATGATGCACCGAATAAAATAAGTGAAAAGGATTAAAAAAATAAAAAGTCAATTTAAATAAAATCAAATCTTTAATGTATTAAATATTCTATTGCAAAAAAAAAAACAATTTTTAAGAGTAACAAATAATAACGAGTTCTATTTTATCATAAAAATTTGATAATAAATAAATTTATAGTAAAATAAATTTTAAATATTTAACAATGACTTATAAATAGTATTTAAAATTAATTTTAAAAAATTGAAATAAAGTTTAGAGATTACAACAAACAACCATTAAAAACAAAGTTTGATTTGAAAACCCGTTATAAATTTCAGTCAATTATATAAATAAATATTTTGTTATTAAAATTTGGTTGGGGTAATGTTACATTTCTCCTTTTGATGTATCAATTTAAGAGAAAATTAGAGATATATCGACCGTGTAAACTAATTTTATACTATTAACCAATTAATATTGTATATTATATTAAGTTTATTATTGGACAATAGTGTAACATTATTTTATATTATCAATGAATGTCTAGTAATCTCTCAATTTAAAATTAATAAGTAGTTTTTATAAAATAATAAAATAAAATTAAGCGCATCTAGCTTTTGTAAAGTTAAAAAAAATCAAAATGTAAAATTTATGCATATAGTTTTTGTATAACAAAAAAAATTAAATTGCAGTTTTGTTCTCTCAATTTTACCCGATTCACGAAATTAATTTTTATATTTTTAATTTAAATAATTTTGATCTCTATCTCAATTTTTTTTCAATTTATATATTCATCTATAAAATTTCACAATAATTTTATATACGACCATTTGTCATATTTTATAAGAAATTGTTATTTAAAACATGAAAACATCATTAATTTTAAATATAAAATTGTGAGACAGAGATCACAATTATTTAAATTTGAAATAGGAGGATAATTTTTGTGAATTAGATAAAATAGGACTAAAACTATAATTAAGTCTTAAAAAATCAAAAAAATTCAAAATATGTGAGCAAGGGTCAAGTTTTAGTAAAAGTAAAAAATTTAGGTGTATTTTCTTAAGGGGTGTTTATATATTTTTTTTAATGAAAATAAAATAAATGTATAATTTTCTCATATATATATATATATATATATATATATATATATATATATATATATATATATATATATATATATATATATATATAATTTCTTTCTATTTTGACTCCTTAAAAGATATTTAGGTATATTTATCATATTTTTATTGAAGAAAAATATGAATCACATCTATAAAATTATATTTAAGTATTCTCCTCCATAAAATTATTAAAGAAAATCAAAATTTATTAAAATATGAAGTTAACACATTTAGCTATTGTAAAATTAAAAAAAGTCAAAATTTATTGAAATAAGAAGTTATTGCATTTATCTTTTATAATTAAAAAAATTAAAATTTATCAAAATGTGCCAACAAGAGTCAAGCTTTTGTAAATTTTAAGAATAAAATTAAAACTAATTAAAATTTGAACATGAAGTTAAAATTGAGAGGTTACAACAAATAACTTTAAGAATAAAGATTGACCTGAAGACCCATTGTAAAATTTAATCGATTATATAAAAAAATATATTTTATTATTAAAATTTTGATTGGAGTAATGGTACATATCTTCTTTTGATTTTTTTGAATAATCATATTTTTTTTAAAAATTCTCAAATAATCACTTTTTAAAAAAAATTAAAGTAATTATCTTTTATAAAATAAAATAATAAATTAAATTAAAATTTAACAAAGCTACTTACCCAAAGAAAAAAAATATCGAAGGAAATACAAAAAGTATCAAAGTCAATAAAGATGAAATTAACAACCCTATCATTTGCTATAACTTTTTTATTTTCCAAACATAAACATTTGGACATTTTTTATTTAGAAAAGGAAACGGAAACCCAACGAAATTGTTAGTGAGTGAATGTGTTAAGTCCACTTTCCCCTTATTTTTCTTTTCTTTTGACTAATACACATCAGAAAAAAAATCAATGAATCTAACATTTGTTACATAATTGATTAAATCCTCAAGTGGTTGCACCAAATCCTATGAATGGTTAGACTAACTATCCTAAAATGTCAATGTATATTATTTATTTCAGACATAAAATAATGTTTAAGATTTCAATTCCAACTTTATAACACTATAAATAACTCAAACTTAGACCAAATGTAACATAACTCAAATAACTTACATTAATTCAACAATGAAGATTATCTTATGCTGTTTACTTGGCTTACTTACTATCATTTTTTCCTTTGCTTCTGCTGCTGCAGAGGATCATTACCATCAATTTGTTGTAAGTTGTTGTTTCATAATCATTGATCACATATATGTTTGTATCAGTTTTGAAATTGTGTTAACTAACTTCAATTATTGATTTAAATAGATTCAAACTGCAACGGTGAATAGGCTGTGTAAAACACGAAACATACTCACTGTAAATGGACAGTTTCCTGGCCCAACAATTGTAGCTAGAGATGGAGATTCTATGGCGATCAAAGTAACAAATGCTGGACCTTACAATATCTCCCTCCACTGGTAACTATCATTATCGTCCTCATCACTAACTCTTAATCTTCATCGTGGTTTTAAATTGTAGTCGTTTAATTGTAAATGTGGTTGAAGTTTCATAAGCTCGCCAAGATAATTTATATAGACAACTTTTAATTTATTTAAAAATTAGGGGTGACAAACGAATATATTCATTACGTTTAGGTTCCTGTGAAAACTTGAAGAAAAAAACGGGATGGAATACGCATAACTGAAGGTGCGAGCTTAAAATATTGATTCGTCTCGCAAAAAAATAAAATATGTATGCAAACACTGCATCTTTAAAGAAAAAACAATAAAAAAAAAAATGCTAATGAGTGTGTTCGCCAAAAAAAATAGGACGGGGCGTGGTGAACATATTAGAGGGGGCGAGCTTAAAACTTTGATTCGTCTAACAAAAAAATACAGATAAAACAAACATTCCAATAGATTGGATTCGAAATAAAAATGATTTGACTTTATTTCATCTTCTTATAAAAGTAGAGTATACTTAAACACTTATATCACTTATATGATAGCCACTTAATCCGCCTATACAATAATTTACTATGTTAATATTATTGTTATATATTTGAAATTATTGCTATGTTGGTCACAATATTCTTTATGTGTTTTGTGCATTAGGCATGGATTTAGGATGTTGAGAAATCCATGGGCAGACGGGCCTAGTTATGTGACTCAATGTCCAATCCAACCAGGTGGAAGTTACACATACCGTTTTACAATACAAAATCAAGAAGGAACACTATGGTGGCATGCTCACACTGGTTTCTTAAGAGCAACTGTTTATGGTGCTTTCATTGTTTATCCAAAATTGGGTTCTTATTTTCCTTTCAATATTCCAAATAGAGAATATCCCATCCTTCTTGGTAATCTTTAAACACTTCAAAAGTTGACATACTCTTCAATTTTTATGCAACAAAGACAGAGCCATAACAAATTGTATTGTTGATGATTCATAGGGGAATGGTTTGATAGAGATCCAATGACTCTCTTCAAACAGACACAATTCACAGGAGGAGCTCCAAATACATCGGTTGCATACACCATAAATGGTCAACCCGGAGATCTCTACCAATGCTCAAGTCAAGGTTTGAAAAACATTCTTAATTAGCCATTACTTCCATACGTTGCAGCTATGGTCGATATGACTAATTAGCCTTTATACTGCAATTGCATACCGCAATTTAGAACCATGATTTCGTATACATTTTCTTTAATCTAACTATTAAATAACGAAAATGATAAGAGAAAAATTACAATGCAGGAACTATACGTTTTCAAGTAAATGCAGGAGAAACAATTCTCTTAAGAATCATCAACAGTGGACTCAATCAAGAACTCTTCTTTTCTATTGCAAACCACAGAATGACAGTTGTTGCAATGGATGCTGCTTACACAAAACCTTCCACAACCGGAGTCCTCATGATCGGACCAGGCCAAACAATCAACGTCCTCGTCACAGCCGATCAACCGCCCGGCCGCTACTACATGGCAGCTCACGCTTACCAAACAGCCATGAACGCCGCATTCGATAACACAACAACAACTTCAATTCTTCAATACAACAATGCACCATCTTCAAGACCTATTTTACCTGTTTTACCGGCTTTTAACGACACAGCAACTTCAACTGCATTCACATCAAGGATTAGAGGACTTTCCAAAATTCAAGTGTTTCAAAATTTCGATGTGAGCTTATTGTTCACTGTAGGGTTAGGGTTAATAAACTGCACAAACCCGAATAGTCCAAGGTGTCAAGGACCGAATGGAACAAGATTTGCAGCAAGCATAAACAACAACTCTTTTGTTCTTCCTAGAACAACTTCATTAATGCAAGCTTATTATCAAGGAATTCCTGGCGTTTTTACCACAGATTTTCCTCCGGTTCCTCCCATACAGTTCAATTATACAGGAAATGTTCCTAGGGGTTTGTGGACTCCTAGAAAAGGAACTAAGTTGTTTAGAGTGAAATATGGTTCAAATATTCAAATTGTTTTGCAGGATACTAGTATAGTAACAATTGAGGATCATCCTATGCATGTTCATGGGTTCCATTTCTTTGTAGTTGGTTCGGGTTTTGGAAATTTTAATCCAAGAACAGATCCGGCAAGGTTCAACCTGGTGGATCCACCCGTGAGGAACACTATTGGCACGCCTCCGGGTGGATGGGTCGCCATTCGTTTCAAGGCTGATAATCCAGGTACTACATTACGCTCTTAGGATTATATTCTCTCTCTGGTTTTTTATTATAAGATAAAATTTACTTTCTAGACTATATATAGACAAATACATTTATTATTCAATATGTTATTTTATAATAACATCTAGACGAAGTGTTATATTGACCAATTGTGTGATTTTTATTTGTTGTTGTGAATTAGGAATTTGGTTCTTGCATTGTCACATAGATTCACATCTGAGTTGGGGTTTGGCAACAGCACTTTTGGTAGAAAATGGAGTTGGCCCATTACAATCAGTGATACCTCCACCACCAGATCTGCCCCAATGTTGAGATCAAGAAAGCACTGTTATTACTAAATTTTATGTTGTACTCAGTTATTGTCTTGTCACATTGTGTGTATTTGTTTTTATGTGTTTTTTTTCAAAGTCTATAATTGTACCAAGGTCAATTGAGTAGTTACTAGTTGTTGTTTCTTTTCAAAGTCTATAATTGTATCAAGGTCAATCGAGTAGCTTTTAGTTATTAGTGTCTTTCTTGATTGGGTTGTAAGATTTTAAGTTTAAGGGGGAAAAGTGTGAATTCTCTTCTCATTTTATACTTTTCATACCTCGGTAGTAATTTTAATTAGGTTGACAATACCAGCCTAAAAGACAGGACGACAACCTAAAAATAAAGAAATATAGGGGAAGAAAATTAAAATTCATGAAAACAACATTACTTAAACTTAAAAATAGACAATCCACTTTTATTATTAAAATTTATGAAAACAATATTACTTCTCATTGTTCATAAAAATGTCACATGTCATAGTAAGTCACGAGTTCTCACAAAACGCTCAATCAGAGTTTGATTTGACATAACCACTACGACATTTACTCCAAAAACTTACTTAGTTATGACTCTAGGATGATTTGTTATAGCAAAATGTTTAAGAATAGAGAAATCAACAACCCAGTTAAACATAGTTTCTTTTGAATGTTTTTGCAATTGATATTATGAAGAGATAACTAAGTGCAAAACACTTGATAAAGAAAAACTCATGTTATAAAACCTCATTTGGATCGTACAATGGAAAATCACCCAAACAGTATTAGCCATAATAGATAGAATAAAAATATTTGTTTGAGCGCTCCAACACCAATGTTGCAAAATTAATGTTGAGATGGTAGTTCTTTGTGTCGAAGAAACATGTTGTTCGACACAAGGTGTGTCAACTTAGCCTGTCGAAGTGTGTTGAAGTGTGTATGTCTAAATGATAGCTTCACAAAAGAGTTTTTGTATGCAATGCATTGCGTAATTATGTTCTCAAAATAAATGAGAGTGTCATTGTAACGCGGTGGGAGAACTGACTTGGTTGTTTTGCGTTTGATCACAAATGTTACGGTTAGCAAGAGTTGTCACCAAATTTTCTTTTATCCAAAAGGAAAGGCTGAAAAGAACATGAAACACCTTTAGAGATGTTTTCTTGAGTTTGGGAGGTAGATTATGGAAAGGAAAGGTATTAGCACCCTTTTCATCCGTATTTATCTACGGGCTCTTAGTTTCTTGCTAGATAACTTGCTTTTGTTTGAAAATGTGCTTTGTGTGATTTTTTAAATTATTTTGAAAAGGTGTCATCGTTTAGGCAAACTATGTAATGATTCTCGTTCGTAAGAATGTATACAAAATGTTGATCCTTTGAAAATGTTTTCAAGTTTGAAAGGTGTTTTGAAATTGTTGGTGTTTGTTTTAAAAATAGCAAGGATGTTTTGGTTTGAAAATGAGCAAGCAACTAAGAACATTCTACCTACTCAAAAGTCTTTCATGTTTATTTCCTCTTTCCTTTGACATTGTTATCTTACCATTGATTTCGTAAGTTACCCTATCTTTAGATGTAAAAGGGACGGGCGAGGGTCATCGTATAGCCATGATTAGCAATGTTGTAAGATATCTTAGCATTTTCTTTAAGGGACTAAGATCATTTTTAAAAGGCAACTTTGATAGCGTCATCGAGGGACTTTGATCTTGTATTTTGTTTGTTTTTGCTAAGATACCCCACATGCATAATATGGCCATTTTATAAGGCGATAAAGTGGATTTACCCTAAGGGTGTAAGTGTGCAAATGTGTTTGATTTACATGCTTGTTTATCTTGAATTAGGGTTTGCTACTTGTTGATTTTATTCTTGCCATACAAACCCTAATTTACTAGCATTTATATAAAGCGATAAATTGAGGAAATTAAAAATACTACGCTATTACATCATTTGGGGAGGGGGTATACAAATTTACAAATGGATATTTGCAAGAAAATTAAAACCCTAATTATCTATTACAACCATATTGAATTTGAATAAATGTACAAAAATGAATAAATATTCAAGAACATAAATGAAAAAAGGAAATGGATTTTTGTTTGGATTTTTTAGGAAGGGGTTCGGTCTTGACCTAATTAAGAAAAATGATTAATTAAAGTTAAAAATTAAACCTAAACTAATTAAGAAAAGAAATTAAGTTTGAAGCATTTTTAGGGTTTTTTATGAAAGGGTTTAAACTTAATGAAAATAATATGGTAATTAATTAATTAAAGAAAACCTAAATTCTAAATTAATTTTAAATAATAAAAATAATAAAATAACTTAACCTAAATCTAATTATTATTAAGAAAAAGAAATTAAGATTGTTTAAAAATGTTTTTTTAGTTTTATAAGGAAAGTAAACTATAAGTATATAAATAATAAATAAAAATATATTTTTGATTTTTTTATTAATAAGAATAATAATAATAATAATAAAAATAATAATACTAATAATAAAAATAATAAAGAAAATAAAATAAAAATAAAATATAAAGAAAAAGTCAGGGAGGTGTGAAATAAAACTTGGAATTTTGTTAGAAAAGTAGTTTTTTGAATCTGGCCCAAATGATGTTTTTTGTTTAAAAATCAGAAAATAAAAAAAAGTTTGGACCTGTGTGGTAGTAAGCAAGCAGGGGGTGTGGTGCAGCAAAAATGGAGAAAGCCCAAAGTTGGGCCCAAGCGCTGTAAAGAAACAAAAATGTGGAAAAAGTATGAAAAATGACAAAAGGCAGCGCGCTGGGTGTTAAACCCACGCCCTCTTGGTTACCAGCGCACTGCCTCACCACTAGGGTGGCTATACATCTGTTTACTTATATAAAACCATAAATATATATTAGAAACTGCTTCCTGAAGACAACTTCATCTTCAACCTCGCGCCTAGCCAGACCACCTGCGTCTTGTTCATTTCTCATCCATTTGCAAAAGTGTAAACATGAATCTTGTGGAAAATTTCCTCATGATTTCAGAAATGTAAAGCATTAAAACTATAGATCAAAGACAAACATGAATTTTATTGGCCCTAATCTGAACCCTAACTTTTCCAGAAACTTCAATCTTAAAATTCTCTAAGCTCAAGCAACATAAATGAAAACTATGGACATGGTTAGCTTTAGGGCAATGATATCTACATTTTTCATTCACAAATTAAACATTAATGATGCTTATATGAAGAGTTCAAAAGTCAAAAAACTCACCTTGCAAGAGGGTATCGTGTTTTGAGTTTGAGCAACTTTCAATGAGTCCTAGTGATTGGGTTAGCTTCCTCAAGTTCCCAGGAAGCTAATGTGATGCTTGGTTTGAGCTGAAAGTGGCTGAGGAGTTCTGGAGAAGTCGACTTGCAGACCCCTGTTTTTGAAAGTGGAACTTGATGATGGAGGTGTTACAGTTATGAAACAGGGTCAGGGATGAGTTTTATTTGATGTTTAGAAGCTTTAGGAACCAAAAGGCTTGGAAACGCACGAGGGATATGTGAGTTTCTAGTTTTTGGTCAGATTATGCAACAATGGTGATTTTTTGATACAATTCTGAGTTCTATGGAGTTTGAGCGCTTGTGTATGCGTGTGTTTTCTTTCAAGCAACTTGGGCATATTTATGGAAATGGTTAGAGCACAAATGTACTCAAGACTTCTGAGTTCTAGCCTTTTGGCTCTATAACTTTCTTTTGAAGAAAAGTGAGAAGACAAATCTCAAAATGTTGTACAAGCATGTTCTGAGTTCAAAGAGGCTTTAGACACATTGCTTTTGGGTTATATGGATTGTGTGTGCATAAAGAACAATTGCAAAGCTCAAGAAGTTGACAATTGCAAAAGTAATGCTTTATCAAAATGGAAATGGTGACTTTCTCCCTAAAATGGCAAAATGCTTTGGACAATACTTGAATCAATTGGAAAATTGATCAATAAATTATGTAAACATTAAATTAAGGAGTGACAAACAAGTTTGAGGCATGTAAAGTGAAGATTATGCAGCATGGCTATGGATTTGGTTCATGTTGCATCACAAATTTTGCCTTGCAAAACAACTTGAAACCCTAACTTCTGGACTTTGATTCTCCTTGCTCACAAATGATCTCAAGGAGTTCTTAGACATTTTAGAAAGCTTGTAATGTTCTCTACAACCCCTCTTTGAATCACTTTTGAAAATTCCCCTTGGAACTATATGAAAAAGTGCCATTAAGTTAGGTCAAAATCCTTGCCTAAACTAGGGCAAAATTTTCACTAAGCGTTTAGTTTCATGAGCATGGGTTCAAAAAATCATAAGTTGAAATCCATGCATTTCTAGGATAAGTTGTGTAAAGCAATGTTTTAGATATCATTGAGATATACAACTTTCATGTTGAAAGTTTCCTTTGAATCATCTTGCATCATAGTGAAAAATTGGCTCAAAGTTGTGAAAAAATATGAAGTTTTTAACACTTAGAAAAATTTCTAAGTTTGGAAACTTTGAATTTTCAAAATGAAATCTTGAATTTTTGATTTATTGATGAACAAGTTTCATATTTTGGCATGTTTTGATAAATTGGGATCTTTGACACTTGATTTTGACCAAAAAGTCAAAGTTTCACTTTTCAGTGTACAATTGACTTTTGATCAGTTGACTGAAAATCAACTATCAACCAATTGATCTTGAGGGATGTTTTGAGTCATGACATTAGTTCAAAATGATGCAATTGAAACCTTGAGATCATGTCTCAAACCAATTAAACATTTGCTGGGTCAAAAAATCAGAAATTGCCCTTTCTCAGTCAAAACCCTAATTTTAACCATTTTGCCCTTTTGATGATCTGATCAAATTTCTTGAGGAATTATGGTCAAAACTTGATCAAATTACATATAGGAGTTCGCAATGTTGATATGGATAAAAAATTATGAAGTTTGACTCTAAATTGACCATAATTGACTTTCCCCCCAGTACATTTAATTTTTAGGTCAACTGATCAATTGATTGAGCAAAAATGTTATCCATGAATTGAAACTTGACATGAGTAATCTTG